TTCGCCACCCGGAATTGCAGGCTGGCAGTTGAATGAATTTTTCTGCCAAACAAGTCCAATCTTTTGGCCTCTCTATTTTGGGGGGGGGGGGGGGATCGAGCTGGTATGACCTTGTTTATCTTTTTCATTGGCCGTGGAGGCCACCAGCGAGTCCGGAGGAGAGTGGGTGTAAAGGTATTCAGATCCTTTGTGTATTTGTGTAAAAGTATTTCTTTTTGGCCCTTTTTGAGGTGGGAAAGATGGGTAAGAGGGTTTGCCAGAGGAGCTTGGCATTCTTGAGGACACCATCATGCACTGGTAGTGCGACACGGACTGGGGTAGAGGCTGACAGGACATCAAAAAAAAATATCCACCTGCTCAGCCATTTTCTCCACCTCCAGGCCCAAGTTCTCAGCCAGCCGACGAAGCAGGGCTTGGTGTTCTTTAAAATCATCCAGTGGGCTGGCCCTCGAGGGTCCTGCAACAGCCTCAACTGGGGACGAAGATGACGATTGCACCGCCGGGGGAGAGAGGCTTAGGGGTGGGTGCAGTTTCCTCTGCCTTGACCTCTGAGTCGTGCCTGATGCACCAAGCCTAGTGCCATTGGTGCCACCAGCTGTTGCTCCGAGGCAGTGGCCAATGAATGGTGTGAAGGGGGCAATGCCATAACCAGCACTCCCCACGCGCTCCAGTAAAGCCACTGCCCTGGCCACTGGCCAGGCTGCCTAGAGTGTCCACTTGCACTGGTGCAGTCTAGGCGAGGGGCTGAACTGAGATTCCGTGCCAGAGGAATCCCCTTCCGGTGACCACGGTGGGGCCGTCAACGCCTGAGTTTGTTTGCTGACTGTCACCGCCGGAGACCAGTGCCTGGAGCGAGGGGATCGGTGCTGGTATCGAGGGGACCAGTGCCGGAGAGGACCAGAAACGCGTCGGGGAGCACTCCCACAAGGCCAGAACCTGCGCCGAGAGGACAACTGGTGGGAGGGCAAACAGTGCCGGTCGTACGGAGACCAGCATCTTCCTCTAGGCGATCCATGCTGAGATGGTGGGGACCGCGATCACAGTGCCGGTGACCTAGGATGAGCCCCAGAGGGTCTAGGCTGTGATTCCGGTGACCTGCGGTGCAGAGGTGGAGAGCATTGCTTCATCTTGGGGGATCGACAGTGCACTACTACCCCGAGGGATCTTAGCAGCTGGCCTGCCCTCGTGGGGAGCCTTTACCGATTTCTGAGACATGTGCTGTATTGGAGGCGCAGGCAGAGGCCTTTGCTCTCTCAGCCCCGGGGAAGCTTGTGAAGGTGTCAGTGCCATCTGGGGGTTTAGGTCCCATGCCGCTCCCGGGAGTTGGTGGTGGATCTTTCAAGGGGCTAAGGGCCCGGACCGGGGAGGCACGAGCGTGGGGCTCCAGAGTGGCCGTGTGGCTCGAAGTGGGTCCCTTGCCCAGTGACCCATATCCCTTCTTGCCTGATGCCAGGGAGCCATGCTTCCTAGCCTTCTTTTTGGGCACTGGCGATGGGGAATGATGCTGGGCGGAGCCTGGTGCCTGGAGCACACCGAGGCACTCAGTGAGTCCTGGTGGGACAGCATGGAAGCCGGACGAAGGGCAGACTCCATGAGGAGAACCGGTAAATGAATATCCCGCTCCTTCTCCATGCGGGACCGGCACTTATCTCTATCGTGTGATTCCCCCAGGCACTTGAGGCAGCTGCTATGGGGGTCACTCACAAGCATAGGCTTGTTGCAGTCTGTGCAGGGCTTACCTGGGGCGAAGTCCCTGCTGGGACTCTAACTGCTAACTACACTTAACAACTACTTAACACTAACTACTATAAACTATTTACAAGGCCCTAAGGCTCGAAGTCAGTAAGACGAAAACTGCTAGCCCTAGCAATGCAAGGAAAGGCACTCCGACTAATCACCACAGGTGGTAAGAAGGAAATATGGGCTTGGATACACTTGCAAGTTAGAGCGCATTAAAACAGCCCTGGGTGCCCTAACTCATGACGCGTCCACACTGGCAAGGCACATAGAACGCCTGGACTCCACGGCTGGAGCGCTCCTGGTAATCTACCTCCATGAGAGGCATAACACTTGCTGCGCCCCGGCTGGAGCACCGCTGGTGCTATTACTGGTCTATTACTGCGCTCTGATTGGCCTCCAGAAGTGTCCCACAATACCTTGTCTAGCCACTCTGGTCATCACTTTGAACTCTACTGCCCTGACCTCAGGTGACAAACCGTCAGATCCGCCCTTTAAATTCTCTGGGAATTTTGAAAATCCCCTTCCTGTTTGCTCAGCCAGGGGTGGAGCGATCTCAGCGAATCTTTCCAGGTAACCATGCCTCCACACGTCAGGCGAGCCCCAGTATGGAGCAATGGCAAGATGCTGGGCCTCATCAGTGTTTGAGGGGAGGAAGCTGTCCAGTCCCAGCTGCACTCCAGTTGTAGGAATTACGATACCTTCGGGCAGATATCAAGGGACATGATGGAAAGGGGCCATGACCAGGACGCACTGCAGTGCAGGGTTAAAGTGAAGGAGCTGCGGAATGCCTACCGCAAAGCACGTGAGGCAAACCACCGCTCTGGTGCTGCCCCCGCAACCTGACATTTCTACAAAGAGCTGGACGCAATACTTGGGGGCGACCCCACCTCCACTCCGAGTACCACCATGGACACTTCCAGGACCAACTTATTCTGTGGAAAATGTGGGGACAGTGTTGAGTATAGGGGCCCCCTGCAGCTGTTGGCTCTCCCCAAGGCACAGAACCCCTGAGGACAGTACAGCCATGAAACAATCAGTCCCCCTTGCCCCTGTGTTTACTCACCATTTTGGGGCTCTTGTGGGTTATGTGCGCTCACTTTGGGATGGGCAATTTCTACTATTGTATACACTGTACTTGTCTTTAAGTTTGGCCGAATCATTGCTCTGTCTGGTGTGAACAATGCTGCCTCTGTTAATTGTTGCATTTTGGCTTTACAGATGCAACCTTGAGATTCCAGCCGTTCTTGTTATCAACGGCTGAAAGACTCCAAAGAATCAGGAAGCATCCGCGAAGAAGCAAAGAGGACATGCTACATGAAGTCATGCAGCAGTCCCTTAATGAAAATCAAAAAGTGCAGGAGTGGCGGGAGAGTGAAAGGAGGGTCCATCAGCAGAATGCAGATCGCCGGCACCAAAGCACAGAGCAGCTGCTAAGCATCATGAAGACCAAGCGGACTCGATACAGGCGGTCGTAGCAATGCAGGCGGAGCATATCCGCGCCCGCTCCCCCTGGCAACTCTTGTCCCAAAACTCTTTCCCTTGTGACCCCATGTCACCGCCAACCCATTTTCCCCAACATCCGGGTTCTTATTGCCAACAGCAGCCTCCAACATCTGTAGCTTCACCAACCAGTCCACCTGTAGCTTCACAAACCACCACCCGCTTCTCCACCATCAGGGCAACTCTCAATCTTGTGTCCTTGCGCCGCAGTGGGGGCAAGCTCAGCACACAGTCCCATGAAAGTGGCTTTTCTCATCCAAAAGTTCTGCAGCCACTGTTTGTCATCCCAGACTTGCATGACGATGTAATCCCACCACTCAGTGCTTGTTTCCCAAGCCCAAAAGCGGCTTTCCACAGTGGTGAGCATGTCCGTGAATGCCACAAGCAATCTCGTGTCGTAAGCATTATGCGAGTGGACATCATCATCGGACTCCTCACTGTCACTTCATAGCTTAAGGAGTAACTCGACTGCAATTCGTGACGTGCTGGCGAGACCCATCAACATATTCCTCAGCAGTTCGGGATCCATTTCCACAGACCGAAAGAGAAGACAGAGCGCACAGTACAAAAAACTGTTGAAAGATGGCGCCAAATGTGGACGGAAGCACAGGGATTGCTGGGATGCGAAGCGATGCATCACGGGGCATTAGGACAAGAGCCAGAATGTCCCGCATCCTCCCACCCCCTTCCCACAAGCCACAGCACCAGAATGGGAAGACGTGCTCTGTGAGATAGCTGCCCATAATGCACCGCTCCCAATGCAGCTGAAAGTGCCGCAAATGTGGCCACGCCAGTGCGCTTGCAGCTGACAGTGTGAACACATGGCAGCGCTTTCCCTGCTGCAGTCTCCAAGGGCTGGTTTAAGTCTGAGCGCTCTACATCTGCAAGTGTAGCCAAGCCCTGAGAGGGCGTAGGATCGTCGGCGCCTGATATACCAGCGCATGAGCACGGCACTCATGGGGGCACCACTGCCAACCCTACGGATACCGCTAAGAAAAAAATCTCCAATGACCGTGCACGTGCGCACACCTAGAATGGAATTGACATGAACAAGCATTCAAAGAAGAGCTGGGATTCCTTTAAGATGCTATTGCTGGATGCTGCTCAGAGGTTCTATCATCTGTAACAGGCGTCCAGTATGTTTGAACACATACACCAGCCCCCTTAAGCACTGGAAAGGAAGTGGAAACCTCTTTTCCTCCCTACCCAATTCCCAACACTCTCCTGAAGGAAGGGCTCTTCAATACCCTACTCCAAACCTCTGCCTGAGTCCTTTGTACCCCACAAATAGCTCTAAGACCTGGCTAGACTGTTCTCAAGCAGCAGCGAGAAACTGACATGGTCTATGTTGGTTTCCCAGCTGCCCATCAGGCTCTACTAGCAGTGGGAAAGCTAATCAGTGCTTGGTCACTGTCACTCATTAATAAAAGTTGAGGATGGCATGGCACGGCACATTTTAAAAAAAAAATGCACTAGATATTTATTACCTGGAAGACTTTTCTCATCAGATTCTGTGGTCTGATGATAAATCGCATTTGTCATAACTACTGTAACACTGTCCATTTAGCAGAACAAGCAAACTCTGCGTACAAATCAACAACACAAGAAGTCAGTGTATGGGTTTTATGAATGCACAAATGCAGGGCCCAATCCTGCACTATGCTGCATGGCACTGAGTTCCCAGAGAGCTGAGGATACTCAGCACCTACAGGATCAGGCAATTAGCATACACTCTTCAGGAAATAGATGATGTGACTTACCTCATGTGGTCGAGTAAGGAATATGCTTTGATCAAAGAATGCACCATACTGGCCTACAGAATAGAAACGTAAGAGCATAGGTTACCAAGTTATGCAAGGGTTACCAAGTAGGCCTGCACCATACGTAGAAGAATGTCCCTAACCCAGCAGCTTGCAACCTAATCCCCACACAAACATAGAGCAGATATGTCAGCGATCCTAAACTGAAATGGTGCTGATATGTACCAAAGGTCCTTCATTATTAGTCTTTACCAATTTCCCCCCAAAATTCCTGGGTTTTGAAAAAAAACAATATTCAGGTTTTACTGATTTTCATCCAAATTTTGGCTTTTTCAGGACCCAGGAATTTTTCACAGGGAAACTGGATGGGGCTGTGTGGAAGGGTGAGCCAGGTTAGGAGGGGGTCTATACACCAGGGGCCAGTAGTCAGGGGTGCAGCCTTCTGCTTCCCTTCAGAACTCAGCCCTTCACCGTGGCCCCATCTGCTTCCTCCGCACAATGGCAGAATGAGACAAGCGGGGAGCTAGGTCCTGGAAGCTGAAAGGGCTGGACCGCTGCAGGGAGTGGAAGGCTACTGCCACATGGTAAGACTCAGCTTCCCCCCACCCCCACTCTGCCCTTTGATTTCAGTTTCTACCTATTTTCTCCAGGTTTTTTTTTTTTAAACATTAATAAAAAATGAAAATCCCAATAAATTAAAAATAAAATAAAAACAAACCCAAAGGGCCTTATATATACCAGGCAGGTAACATCCATGTGATACACTGCATTTATCATGCATCTTTGACCATCTCACTTGGACTCTGCCCATTGATCCATCTCCCAGGGACTATGTCAACCACTCCTGAACTCTGAACAGCTTCAAAGAGCCTTTTCTTTGTTTTCCTTTTCCTTTTTTTTAAGTAAAAGGAATCACTCAAATATTTCTTTCCCCCCACCCTTATGTGGATTTCCTTCCCAGTGTGACTTGGATGGGTTTAGTGCTTGAAAACTATGGTTATAGGCAGCCTTGGAGAAACCTAAACAGCAATGCAGATACAAGGCTTGAACATCCACTCACTCCTATTCACACGTGAAATAGTTCTTCTGAAGAATGTGGCATTTTCAGAATACATGGGGGTGCAGAGTTTGGTATAAAGATCTTATCCAGGTTTATTTGGAAGCTGTCTGTCTCAAGCCAACACCCTAATTTTGGCACTACTCAAGCAAGGGGGAGTTATCCTCAAGCTTATTTCACTCTTTCAGCTAGAAGAAGTTTTGTATGCACTTAGGCTTCCCTGGATCAGAGGACACTGAAAATGTCCTAGCATGTGGTGCTCTCCTCCATACCAGGAGACGCTGGCAATCCAAGAGACTGGAAGACAACAGCTTGGTTAGAGACTGCCAGGTCTGCTGAGATCTCCCCTCTGGAGTTAAGCACAGGGAAGAGGAGAAGATTTTTACATAAACGTTATCAAAGCAAAACAGATTTATGCCCCGTTTTTCTAAACAAGGTTCCCTGCTCCCAATTTCTCCCTTAGCCAGGTTTTAAAGATCCTTACAAAGCTTTCTGGGGTACATTAGCTCCCATATTGCTATTTCATCACATAAATCTTTTCCACTTGGCAGCTCCCCTTTTCCCCTCAGCCAGCTGAGGCTCTGGAGCAGGAGCATCTCTTGCTATGTGTCTGTGTGGAGCTGGGCACGAGGGTGTCCTGATCTCGGGCAGGGCCTCCAGATGTACAAATAACAATTATAACACAGACGTTCTCACTGGCATGGGGGGGCGGAGAGGATACTTCACTTCACACTGTTTTTATACCCACCCTACTGCTACTCCCAGGCCGCTGGATTACACCAACCAAGTCTCAGCTGTGATGGTAAAGTCACAGCCTGCTCCCCAGGGCCCATTAATCTCTGCCACCTCCACCCAGAAACCCCACCCCACACAGGACGCCCCAAGCTTCCCACCCAGCCCATCACAGCTCCCCGCCCGCAAACTCCTCACACCGCACCGCCCCACCCTGTTCCCAGCAGGCCCCCCCAAGCTCCCCACCTGCACCCCACACTGCCCCCAAGCTCTCCACGCCGCCTCCCACAAAGCCCACGCCACCACCCACAAAGTCCCCCCAAGCTCCCCACGCCACACTCCAGTGTCCTACCCTGCCTCCCACAGGACCCGCCGCTCACCCACCCGTTTAGACACTTTGCAGAGCGAGTCGCACAGCGCCAGGTACTCCGGGCTACAGACATAGACCGGAGGCAGCGGCGGGGCCGCCTCCATCGGGCCCCGAGCCGGCTCCGCGCCCTTCAGCCTGTGCGGACCAACGGCACGCCGGCCCCTCGGTACGCCGGGAGCTGTAGTCCTATAGCGCGGCCTGTCCTTCCCAGGGCATGCTGGGAGCTGTAGTCCTATGGGACATTCTCAAACTTGTCCTCTTTCTAAAAGTGCAGTGCCCAGAACTGGACGCAGTTCTCCAGCTGAGGGCTCACCAGTGTGGAGCAGAGTGGGACAGTTCCCTCCCGTGTCTCAGATACCCCACTCCTGTTAATACATCCCTAACCATATGACCCTTTTTCCCTCCCGTGTCTCAGATAGCCCACTCCTGTTAATACATCCCTAACTATATGACCCTTTTTCACAACTGCATCGCTCATGTTCCATCAGTGACCCACTAGCACCCCAGATCCTTGCCCACAGTGCAAGCACCTGGCCAGTTATTCCCCATTTTGTGGTTGTGCATTTGAGTTTTGCTTTCTAAATGTTGCACTTTGCACTTATTTTCACAGAATTTCATCTTTTAGATTTCAGACCAATTCCCCACCTGATCAAGACCTTCTGAAATCTAATCTTGCCCTCCAGAGTGCTTGCAAACCCTCCCAGTGGTGTAGTGATTGTAGATCACATTCTTTCAAGAGAAGCATTCACTTTAGTGCCTTGACTAAACACCTGGTCACATTATTTAGAACATAAGAATGGCCATACTAGGCCAGATCAACGGTCCATTTCCAACAGTGGCCGGTGTCAGATGCTTTAGAAGAAATTAACAGAACAGGGCAATTCATCATAGAATCATAGAAGATCAGGGTTGGAAGAGACCTCAGGAGGTCATCTAGTCCAACCCCCTGCTCAAGGCAGGACCAACACCAACTAAATCATCCCAGCCATGGCTTTGTCAAGACAGGCCTTAAAAACCTCTAAGGATAGAGATTCCAACACCTCCCTAGGTAACCCATTCCAGTCCTTCACCACCCTCCTAGTGAAATAGTGTTTCCTAATATCCAACCTAGACCTCCCCCACTGCAACTTGAGACCACTGCTCCTTGTTCTGTCATCTGCCACCACTGAAAACAGCTGAGCTCCATCCTCTTTGGAACCCCCCTTCAAGGCTGCTATCAAATCCCCCCTCACTCCTCTCTTCTGCAGACTAAACAAGCCCAGTTCCCTCAGCCTCTCTTCGTAAATCATGTGCCCCAGCCCCCTGATCAATTCCATTGCCCTCCACTAGACTCTCTCCAATTTGTCCACATCCTTTCTGTAGTGGGGGGGGGGGGCAAAACTGGATGCAATACTCCAGATGTGGCCTTACCAGTGCCGAATAGAGGGGAATTATCACTTCCCTCGATCTGCTAGCAATGCTCCTACTAATACAGCCCAATATGCCATTAATCTTCTTGGCAATAAGGGCACACTGCTGCCTCATATCCAGCTTCTCATCCACTGTAATCCCCAAGTCCTTTTCTGCAGAATTGCTGCTTAGCCAGTCAGTCCCCAGCCTGTAGCAAGGCATGGGATTCTTTCTTCCTAAGTACAGGACTCTGCACTTGTCCTTGTTGAACCTCATCAGATTTCATTTGGCCCAATCCTCCAATTTGTCTAGGTCACTCTGGACCCTATCCCTACCCTTCAGCGTACCTACCTCTCCCATCAGCTTAGCGTCATCTGTGAACTTGCTGAGGGTGCAATCCATCCCATCATCCAGATCATTAATAAAGATGTTGAACAAAAACGGCCCCAGGACCGACCCGTGGGGTACTCCACTTGATATCGGCTGCCAACCCGACAATCTAGCTGTCTGTTACAGCTGTCCCCCTGCTGGATTCCTTTTTTGAGTGCCCCCCGGCCATGGAACTGACCAAAGTCACAGCCTGGCCCTGCTCATGGAAATGGCTTGTGCAGACTGACTGGAGCCATTGCTCTGCTCAGGGAGGTGGGGGCTTTTTCGCTCCTTTGTCTAGCTTCTTTGTTCAGACCCGGCTCCGTGTAGGGTG